CTCTGATGGCGACAGTAGCTGATTGTCACTAACCTCGACCATTGTTGGAGAGACGACCCCAACTAATCAGTATCTATGAACTTGTTACGTATTCAACCGTATTAAAATGTGAGCACGGCCAGAGAATATATGGTGGACACCAGGGAGGGCAGCTGACCCCAATACTAGGCTTGAGCCAGACTGTTTTTGTGTCTCGTCTAACACTGTGTTATGGAGTGACCCACGCACCATCACCGTGTTATGACAAGACCAACACTCAATGGTTTACATCCGTACTAGTGCCACAATGGTTTACATCCATACAAGTACCAATAAGAATGGATTATATCCACCAAATCCGATCCACGAAGGATGGTTTACATCCACACTACAACTACTACCACCATCAACAGTTTAAATTCATACAAGCGCCAATAACAAAGGTTTACATCCATACTAGTATCACCAACATTGGTTTACATACATACTAATGCCAACAACAATGTTTTACATCCTTACTTGTAATGCTAACAATGGTCTACATCTATAATAATGTCACTAACAATGGTCTACATCCATAATAATGTCACTAACAATGGTCTACATCCATAATAATGTCACTAACAATGGTTTACATCTATACTAGTGCCCCTAACAATTCAGTAATGTTGGCGAGATAGAGAAGTGTAACACGTTGTGAAAGAGTGGAAGGAATCCTTTGAAGTAAATTCTCCTGACACCCTGACCCAGTCAGCTGTGAAACAAAAGGCTCTGAGTCTCAAATTTCATCTTACAGAGTATGAATGAAGCCTTTGTTCTGCACTAACATTATCTAAGATTTACTGCTTTATATAAAATTCTTTTCAAGATGACGGTGGTATTTGATTTAGTGCCTCCGATTATTTTTGCTCCCATACTTCTTCCACTGTGCTACATGCACTTGTCCTTGCCTTTCATGGCTAACATTTGCATTTTCGTTCCCTCTTTTATGTTGGATTTTCTTCCGTTTCATTCTTTAATAATGTCAGAAACCGCCACTTTCACTCAGAATCTTTCAGTTTCTCCGTGTTGGTCTCGTCTGTTGCCTAACCACTTTCTTCCCTCCCCCACCCCCTCCACAATCTCTCACAGCGTTCTTCGTGTTATCTCTTCTTTTATAGCGAGACTTTCTCCTCTGCCTACCTACCCACGTCAACTACCCAATTATTTTATGCTCCATACTTACTGTGCACACAGAAGGCTTTTTTGTCTGTCCACGGTTTCAGGCCAAATACTCGGGGCTGGCCTCCCTCAGTTTCACAGCATTAATGATCTAGTCTGTCTGTCTAGATCACTAGATCTCCGTGGTGTAGTGGTAAGACACTCGCCTGACAATCCGCGAGCACTTTGTCGTGGGTTCGTGTCCTGGCCGGGGAGGATTTACTGGGCGCAAATCCATAACTGTAGCCTCTGTTTAACGCAACAGTAAAATCGGTACTTGTAAAAATGGGTACAACAGTAAAATCGTTGGTTGTAACAACGATTCTTCGCGGGGGTCGTATTCCAGGGACCTGCCCGAAACGCTACGCGTACTAGTGGCTGTACAAGAATGTAACAACTCTTGTATATATCTAAAAAAAAAAGTACGGGACGGACATAGGCTGGTTGGTGTTGCCAGATATTCAAGAGGAAACATTATGCCAGAGTCACATCTTGACCCCTACGACGATTTTTTGGCACTGACCGTCAGTTGCACCTAGTTAAATATTTTGAAAAAAATATCAAAGCCATATTTTTAATAGTAATATACAAATATAATAGCTACCCATTTGGTTTGAGAAAAGATTAGGGCTTGAGAAAGTCTTTGAAGTCGTGGGAGGATCCTCTGATTTATGTTAATATGACCAAAGTATGAATAGCTGAAAATTTATGTTAATTCCCACCGCTATGTTACACACCGCTGGTTCCTACCACCCACACGCCAATTGTGGACTATTATATTATTTTTATAAGACAGAGAATGAGATAGACAGTAACAATAACAAAGATACAAGACTCCAGAGAGCCCACCAGGGCAGAGTGAGGGACGGTCACCTATTGTGTTACTTTGTGTTGACATTATGATTAACTTTCATTTAATAGGTATAATGCATTAAGGAGCATTCATTTTGTTATATACATTGTAGAATTACAATGATAATGTAATTATAAAATTGTGATATTGCAATGTGTTTCTAAACTGTTATTAGTTTTGTATCAAGTATTACAGTTTGTATTTAATTTAGAATTAATAATTTATATGAGACTATTTGATAATTAATCATATTTAATTAGTAACAGGTATAAAATCACAAACCTTTTTGTCTACAAAAATATTTATTTTTTGTAGACAACTCTTCTTACAAACCACCAAAGAACTATTAGCAACACCATTAGCAGTGTGGCGTACATCCAATTACTAACAACACCACCAATTACCAGCAGCACCACCAACCACCACCAATTACCAGCAGCACCACCAACCACCACCAATTACTAGCAGCACCACCAACCACCACCAATTACCAGCAGCACCACCAACCACCACCAATTACTAGCAGCACCACCAACCACCACCAATTACCAGCAGCACCACCAACCACCACCAATTACCAGCAGCACCACCAACCACCGCCAATTACTAGCAGCACCACCAACCACCGCCAATTACTAGCAGCACCACCAACCACCGCCAATTACTAGCAGCACCACCAACCACCACCACCACCAACCACCACCAATTACCAGCAGCACCACCAACCACCACCAATTACTAGCAGCATCACCAACCACCAACTACTAGAGGCACCACCTCTACCAACTACCAGCAACTCCACCATCCACCAGCACCACCACTACCAACCACTCTGACTTTCTCTACAGGCTTTCTCTGACCTTTCTCCCCCTCACCGCCCGTTAACAGCTCTTCATCCATTTATATTCAGTTGGTAATTTCACCATTTACAAATATTGTGGCATTTACTTGAATAAACGAAATGTGTATACATGTTGATGAAATTCATAAGAGTGTAATTATAAATAATTGCAGTGAACAATTCCTGCTCAAGCTAATGAACAAGCCTTATAAATAGCCACGGCTCTGCCAATGAGACTCGCCATTTAACAATTTTGACTTACAAGGTAAAATATTAATTTGTTTGAAACTAGTATTTAAACAGCACAGCTCAATTGATTTAAGGACAAACCCTTTACCAACCACGACAAGAGCGTCAGTGTGGTTAAAACTGAGCCCACAAGGAAGTATGAGGGAAGTGTACAATAGACTAACTAGCCTAGTCCTTGGTCAAACTTTGTCATCAAAGGTAAGAATACTGAAATCTTCGTTGTTCTTTTTTATATTTCGTTATATTAATAATACCTTCTTTTATTCTCATTGCCTTCTCTTACTTTACATGTGCACATTCATCCAACACTCCTTGGAAACTTGTATTTTGAAGGAAAGTGTGGAACAGTGCCCCACGTTTTGCATTATTAATTTTTAAAGGGCAGGACAAAATTTGTCAAAGCCACTAGAAATCTTTTCCCCAACTATCCCATCTATCATTATACTATAATAAAATCCATTAAAGTTAATAGATTTGTAGACGTTACTTCTGCCAGGCTTAGGCTTGGCTACCAGTACCTCGGAAAGTGTGCACAACCCCAGAAGCAGATCTCACCAACTGCAACTGTCATCAGACCTTTTCACTTGACCCAACGCCCTTGTATAATTTATAATTGAATGTAACTAAAATGCAAGTCTGGGAACACTTATTAGCTTAATGCCACCAAAAATATTCAAGTATTTAATTCAAGGAGTTTCCTCCCCCGAGGACATGTTGAATTCAAGATAACACATTACCCAACATCCTAGCCAAATATCCCACCTTTGCCTATTGTAAACAGTGCACATACTGTGTAAGCTCACACTATCTGTAAGTGTGAGTAAGAAGTCTTTTACTTCTTAACAAATAACATTAACTACAGCACTAATTAGACTACTGTCCTTGTAACGTTATCCAAAATATACTTAGCAAACTTATCCATATAAATGCCGTAACTTGCTTATAAGTTCATAAACGTTCAGTTCCTGAGCCCTTTAAGTGCTACTGTAACCAGTAGTAGACAGTGGAGGTACATGACAGGTATGGACATTGGCCTTTAATACGCTAATTAAGCTGACTAAAGCTATAGGCGGGAGTTCATCAGGGCTGTAACTTTCTTAGCTACACGAATATCGGGGTTGAGCTCCATTATGTGCCTCTACCCACTCCTCCACCGCTCACAGGATGGGTATGTACCGTACGATTACGTGAGTTACATTAGAGATGAACTAAGCTCTTCCGTTACACTAGGAATCATTGCAAACACGCGACTTTATCGGAAGATTAGTAACTGGAGACTAACGGTACACACGTACCGTAACGGGAACAAACTATAACGGAAACAACAGATATTTTAACGGAAGGCACCGTAACGGGTGACTAATGGGAGACACTATAACAAGACACATACGGGTGATATGGTAATGGGATTCACCGTAATGGAACACAAACGGGAGACACCGTACTGGCGGGAAACACTAGAACGAGTAACACTAACGGGAGACACGTACTTGTAAGAGATGACACTATATATATATACTGGAAACAGATAGCCATCAGCGAGCAGTGTGTAGGCAGCAACAAGGTGTCTACAGGTGACTACACCTGTAGACACCTACACCACATCGGCAGGTGTGTGTGACCACCTCACACCACACCGGCAGGTGTGTGTGACATCCTCACACCACACCGGCAGGTGTGTGTGACATCCTCACACCACACTCTCAGGTGTGTGACCAATTCACACCACACTCTCAGGGGGTCAGTACTCGACCCAGGACATTAGCGCCGTAATGGCTCACATATATTAAGTAATTTATTACAAAAGTCTTCGTCAGTATACTGTAATAACACTTAGGTGTCTGTGCTTAAAAATGTTTATTAAATGTACAAATTTACCTTTATTAGCTGACAACTGTCCTTATTGAACCTTGTGAAATAACAAGAATTTGCCGTCTTCCTCCGCCTGTACTGCAGTCCAATACACTAAATGTTCTTGGCAGAGAAATCAATGTCTGTACTGAGGAATAACATCAAAAGTTGTCCACAGTGTCTTGAAAGTCTACTATATATACTTATAAGAAGGAGAGCAGGAAGTGTACAGCCTCTTCCCTCAGCGTCTTGTGTTGTCCTGACCTTCCTCCACTGAGGTCTTGAGCACCTACCTCCTCCCACGACACCGCATTACCTTTTATTTATCCTATTTTATCTTCCGTAGTTTACTCCCTTTTTATCTCTAGTTACGCGTGGATACGAGGATATATATACTTAACAGTGGTTCAATAATCTTTTTTTATAATGCTACTTCGAATGAACATATATAATAAAGAATTTGGGAACAATGTGATAACCTAACAGAGGAAAATGACGTGATTGGTGGACTCTTTGAGGTGCCGCTGATATTGTTTATTTTATTTATATAAACCTAAAAGTTGTCCAACAAATACACTTCAAATACATCACTTGTAAATGTAAGACAAGCTCTTAGCACAAATATTATAAAGATACACAAATTATATTTATTGAATACAATAGGAACATTTCAACACCTCGCTGGCCGCGGCACCTGTATATAAATAAAATAAATAAATATAAATATGTTTATTCAGGTAAGGTACATACATACAAGTGATGTTACATTAATGGATTGATATATAGATAGAGCTAGTACATACAATGCCTAAAGCCACTATTACGCAATGCGTTTCGGGCAAGAAAAACATTAATATCTAGAACTTAATACTAATTGAGCATAAAGAATAAAAAGTGTTGAGAACAAATACAAATAAAGATAAAAAAAAGGGGGGAACATGACTGAAAAAGCAGCACAAATACAATAGGTTGACAAACAGTGTTGATTAAAAAAATAACAGACATGGGTTGACAATAGAGGAGTGAGGTAGGTTACAGGGAATTTATTAGGTAGTGTTTAGTTTTTATCTTAAACTGGTTGAGAGAGGTACAGTCTTTAACATGGTTGGGAAGGTCATTCCACATTCTGGGTCCCTTGATTTGTAGAGCATTTCTAGTTTGATTAAGTCGTACTCTAGGATTATCAAAACTGTATTTATTCCTGGTGTGGTGCTCATGGGTTCTGTTACAACCTACTATGAAGCTTTTGAGGTCAGGATTGGCATTACAGTTTAGCGTTTTATATATGTATAATACACAAGAGAGAATGTGCAGTGACTTAATATCTAACATATTCAGAGATTTGAGTAGGGGTACCGAGTGATGTCTGGGGCCAGAGTTGGATATTGTCCTAATAGCAGCTTTGTGTTGGGTAATTAGAGGACGTAAATGATTTTGGGTAGTAGAACCCCAAGCACAAATACCACAGTTGAGGTATGGATAGATGAGGGAGTAATAGAGAGTCACCAGGGCAGGGCGTGGTACACAATATCTGATCTTAGAAAGAATGCCAACAGTTTTTGAAACTTTTTTTTATATATTTAGAATGTGTCCCTGGAAATTCAGCTTGTGGTCGATGAGAACATATGAGATATGTCAGCCCCAGTAACAGATGCTGCTGTTAACCACGTGTTGCTGTCCCTAGACTCCCTACAGGTGTTGCTCTGGCTACACAGGTGTTGATAACAGGTGTTGTTCAGGCTGCTTAACGTGTTGCTGGGGCCACTGGTGTTTTCCGACTATGGTTATAAAGCCATATAAACGGAACCGCTTACACTCCGAAACTGTAAATACCAAGACATTCCAAATTTAATTGAAAAAGTCTCTAGGAACAGTGGGAGACATTTGACAAGCCGCCGGCTTCCTGTCACTGTCGAGCACACTAGAAAGATGGTTGTGCTCAGGTAAATTCATATATAATTGTTCTTGTGACTACATGTGTTAGTCTTGCTACAGGCATTGTGACTACAGATGTTGTTCTTTCTACGGGTATTTTAACAACAGATGTTGATCTTTCTACTGGTGTTCTTGCTACAGGTGTTGTGACTACTAGTGTTCTTGCTACAGGTGTTTTGACTACTGATGTTCTTGCAACAGGTGTTGTGACTACTGATGTTCTTGCTACAGGTGTTGTGACTACAAATGTTGCTCTTGCTACAGTCACTACAGGTGTTATTCATGCTACAATTAACATGCAACTGGTGCTTACTTCTGTACTTATTTCCGACAATTATAGCCTACTTGAGTCTCCTGGCAGTAGCAGCCCGGACTAGCAACTATCGTGGCCATGGAGCTATGTTACAACACCTGTGAACATGTGTTCGCTGTTTATTTAGCCGTATGTACAAACCCTAACCAAGAATGCCCTCCCCTCTCTCTCCCCTATTTTATCAGGACTGTTTCATTTCCTCCTACATATTAAGATCCGATTAACTCTGTTTTCTAAGAGTAATCTCTCTTTTTGATTAATCCCTAAACAGCTATTGTTACCCCAAGGCTTGTGGGTATATTTCTTGTATACAACCTTTAATGCTACCAAACTATAGTAATAGTCGTTCAATGTGAATTCCGTATTGCACTTTGAGAGAAACAGAGATAAGAGGGGAGAGAAGGAAAGCGAAATGGGAAGAGGGGGGGGGGGATGTTTGAAGAGAAATAGAATGAGAAGTGGAGATGTCTGAAGAAAGAGTGGAAGAGGTGAGAGGGTGGAGAAGGTTAAGGTGGGGATGTTAATGGGGCGAGATGTGATGCTGGGGAAGAGAGGTGATGTTGTGAAGAGTGAGTGGAGAAAGGTGGGAAAGCTCAGATCGTGAGATAGGTTTCAGAGTGAAGGAGAGGGGTGAGATATGGGATTTTGGGGAAGCAAAATGGAGAAGGGAGGAGAGGGGGAAAGATTGGTGAAAAAAAACTTATAACTTTGTATCTTATATAAGAATGAGAAAAAGCAGTGGGGCAAGAACTGCTTTGATACAAAACTTTTCACTGTTTGGATTTTATTTTGCTTGACTGACTGTTACTCTTTTCATTCTGCTAGAAAACTTAATATCCATTATCATGTGTTATTCCTATTCTCATTTTATGGGCAATCACCGCATGTGACAGTTATCAAGTGTCTTTACAAAGTCTGTGTATACACATCTGCATTTCATTTTTCTTCTAATGCAACTGCAATTTTTGTCAAAGTGGTCGAGTAACTGCAGAAGGCAGGGTTTTCCTGCACAAGATCCATGTTTAATTATGTATAATGTTAGTGCAGCCAGAGCTATAGTTTTTAGCTAATGCCTTGTTACCTTTCTTGTGTAGTAGAGCTGCATCTGCTGAGGTAAGTGTTCCATACTACACTGAGCACTCGTGCTACTGGTACTTTTCTTTAAAAAAAAAAATTGAAATTCCAAGAGTCAGGACTGACCCAATTGCTGAGTGCATGGAAATGTTAATTTTTCTTTTGCCCTGCTATGCTCGTGTTAATATGCATTATATACGGGGACCTTTGACAACCCACTGGCTTCTGGTGCTGTCATGACTAAGATAAATGGTAGCCTTCAGGTAAATTCAGGTGATAAAGAAGCTATCTTCATCTTCAACTTTCCATGTTGTTTATTGGTGTGCTAAAGATATCCTCATACTGTTTTTAGTTCACCGATTTCTTTGCTATCCAAGTACGATTCTTCATTTCTAAGTACAGTACGTGTATGTGTATATAATTTCTTCCTCTAAATTTTCATTTGTTATACTATAACTTAGAATTTTATATATATACTGTATACTGTATATTATATATATATATATGTCGTACCTAGTAGCCAGAACGCACTTCTCAGCCTACTATGCAAGGCCCGATTTGCCTAATAAGCCAAGTTTTCATGAATTAATTGTTTTTCGACTACCTAACCTAACCTAACCAAACCTAACCTATAAGGATAGGTTAGGTTAGGTTAGGTAGGGTTGGTTAGGTTCGGTCATATATCTACGTTAATTTTAACTCCAATAAAAAAATTTTTACCTCATACATAATGAAAAGGGTAGCTTTATCATTTCATGAGAAAAAAATTATAATAAATATATTAATTCAGGAAAACTTGGCTTATTAGGCAAATCGGGCCTTGAATAGTAGGCCAAGAAGTGAGTTCTGGCTACTAGGTACGACATATATATATATATGTCGTACCTAGTAGCCAGAATTCACTTCTCGGCCTACTATGCAAGGCCCGATTTGCCTAATAAGCCAAGTTTTCCTGAATTAATATATTTTTTCTTGTTTTTTTCTTATGAAATGATAAAGCTACCCATTTCCTTATGTATGAGGTCAGTTTTTTTATTGGAGTTAAAATTAACGTAGATATATGACCGAACCTAACCTAACCTATATTTATAGGTTAGGTAGCCGAAAAAGTTAGGTTAGGTTAGGTAGGTTAGGTAGTCGAAAAACAATTAATTCTAATTCATGAAAACTTGGCTTATTAGGCAAATCGGGCCTTGCATAGTAGGCAAAGAAGTGCGTTCCGGCTACTAGGTACGACATTATATATATATATATATATATATATACACCATCAAATGCATAATAAAGCACAAAAAATAAAAAAGGAAGGGGGTGGTAGGAGAAAAGCACACAAACTGTATTGGAGGGGATCTAAACATTCCCTCTAATGCGTTATGCGTGGTTTCCTCCGAGGCTATGGGTCCCCCTTCTTCCAGCTAGAGGTATATATATATATATATATATATATATATATATATATATATATATATATATATATATATATATATATATATATAATTATTCACATTCTCATTATGGCAATTTTTCATAAATAAAAAATTATAAACTTTATATATTTTTATTACAAATTAAAATGCAGTTTCTGTACACTGTGCATTAAAATGCATCAATATATAATTTATTAACAAATGTAGTTTCTATATGTACACAAATACATTAAACATTTATTTTTCAATACTAGAATGCACTATATAATTTGTGAATGTAAATGTAAAAAATGTGTTCCATCACTTATGTTAAGAAAAAGTAAAAAAATTGAAAAAGAACCATTCACGAACGATCAGTCATGATGGCGAGGTTATACTACAATTATTTTCCATTACCCTTCCTTTTCTGTGAAAGCTAAACAAAATTCCAGATATGTACCCAAGCTGTAGCATATTTTCTTAGATAATTTTTACTGAGTTTTACAATCCTCATCTGGTTTCTTTGAGGTTCCTGAGAAAAACTTTGAGTAGTCTTGGTTTTCCTTATTTAAACTTTGCCACATATGAACTTTTTCTGCGGGATTTTTCTGAGTACTTTTGGATGATTTTACTCCAGGGAGACGCTCGATGCAAGTCTGTGTTGGTAGTGGAGCATTGTGAGCTCCTAGTTGATACGTGCTTCTGGAACGTGCCGTTTTTTTATCCTCCTCTTTATCTGCACCTGTTTCCTGCAAATGAAATGAGAATATAAGCAATATGTACACAAAAAATAACAACAAATATTAAACATGCCATTCGTATAGGAGAGGATTAGAATAAGGAGCAGGTTTGCGCAAGGAGAAGAACAACCTCTGAAGAGGCATATCTCGCAATACAAAGTGGTCTAACCATTATTTGCAGCATGCCATCTTTGTGCTGCAATATTAAACCATTCACATTGCTTACTATATTTCGTAAAAGGAAAATGCCTGCTCTTCTTGAACCCTTAAACACATTGCAGATCAATGATCCAAATGAATTCTTTTATAAATGTAACACCACTATCGAACCACATATCCGATCTTACCCTAACCGCACTCAACTTTGAAGTATCCATAAATCACATGACTATGCACTCTGCACCAGGCCCAAACTCCTGGAATTCTATATTAATCAAGAATTAAAAAACACACACACACAGGCCCTAAACATCTTTTGGTGATGGAGTGCAGATACTAGCGTTACCTCCGATAGAGAAGAGATCATGCCACCTCACAAAAGAGGTAGCAAAGCTGATGCAAAAAAATTAAAGATCAATAGTTCTGACATTGCACATCATAAAAAGCTTTGGAAGTGTGCTAAGATTATCACAAATCACATAGAATCCCGGTGTTTACATAACCCTGGACAACAAGGGTTCAGAACAAGGCATTCCTGCCTCTTACAGTTGCTAGTCCCACTATGACATGGCCTTAGGTGCCACGGAAGACAAAGAAAACCTTGATGTAGAGAAGTCAAGGACACAATTTAGAAATACATGCACTAATCAGTAGAGAATAATATTAAGGTTTAACTTCAATATAATCTAAAAGCTGTGACACTAATAATGAAAATAAAGCAACATAATAACACTGTACCTTTATCGGGGCAGGAAGAGAGAGATGCCTCTGAGACGATATCCCAGTTTGGGAGCTGTCAGCTTTAAGCTTCTGAGATTTCTCCTGTTTTTCCTTCTCCATCTTAATAATTGTTTCTCTCTGGTGCCCCAGCTCAAACTGCAGACGCTCAATAAAGTTTTGCTTCTCTTCCAATTTAGTCTTACATTGCTCAGTCTCAGCATTCAATAATTCTAATTCCTTCTTTACTTTCTCTCCCACTTTCCTCTCTATCATTGCATTATTTTTCCATTCTTGAGCCTTATTCTTGTAATGGTCCACGTGTTCCTCCATTGTCTTGCATTCATTCACAGCAGCCTTTTTTTCCTTCTCCAAGTGGTAAACCTTATTCTGCAGATTAAGAACTTGGATTTCCTGGAAGATAAAAATGCAAGCTTTAGTGTAAATTAACATGTGGTAAATAAGATTTTTTAGTCTATTTCCTCACCCTCCCTGCTGCCACCCTCCTCTCCTCACATCTTCCCTCCATGTTACCTTCCACCTCCCTCCTATCACAACTCTACCAACAACTTCTGAGGGAAAAAATCATGCTTAACAAACTTGATTCAGTTCTATGACAGGGTTACCAAAATAAGACAAGAGAAAGATCGGTAGAATGCATCTTCCTAGACTATCACAAAATTTTTGACACAGTTCCTTATCAATGACTAGTGCACAAGTTGGAGAGAAGTGGGATAACAGAAAAGGCTCTGGACTAGGTATGGGAGTACTGTATTTGACAGGTGGGAAACAAAGGATCATATTCAGAGATATGTCAGGCAGGAGAGGAATGGAAAATTGCTTCTCAGGTCTCTGTCTTAGGTGTCATTGCCGTTTCTAATTTATGTAAATAACCTCATTGAGAGTGCTTAATATGTCGATATTTGCAGATAATACAAAATTAATGAGGAAATAAGAATTGAGGACTGTAGGGTGTTGCAAGTTCTTAACTTCAGGTGTGGGCAGATAAATGGTTGCTGGAATTGACTCCAAATACAGTAAGCACAAAGTAATAAAAATAGAGTGATAGAAGACCTGTATTTAACTGTACCATAAAGGGAAGGCAATTCAAAGAAAGAGAAAATACCTGGAAGCAGACATAATTCCATTAATACCAGCTGATGTGAACAGGATAACAACAGCAAATGGGAAGTTAGCAAACTTAGGAACACCATTTAAGAATTTAAACAAGGAAGTTTTCAGGTCCATACTTATGCCTATGTGAGACCATTAATTGAGTGTGCAACTCCAGCACGGAACCCCCACCTTATGAAGCAGAAACAGAAATCTTCTCAAGTTTAGAGGTTTGCAACTAGATTAGTACCCAAAATGAGAGGCCTCAGTAATGAGGACAGGTTGAGAGCCTCACAACTTTGGAAGATAGAGAAAACAGAGGGGATATAACTACATACAAGATCTTGAAGGGAATAGATAAAGTGGGTAAAGAAAGCCTATTTATAAAAAAGAGGTAGGACACAAAGACATCGGCAAAAGCTGGAAATGCAATTGAGCTGAAGAGATGTAAGGACATTCATTCCCTGTATGTGTGATCAGCAACTGGAATGCATTGAAAGAAGAGGTTGTTAATGCCAATTCCATCCACAACTTTCTAAATTGTGCATCAGATATAAAACAGCCAGAAAAGCCAGAGAGAGAGATGTCACTCCCCCATATTCATTGATAGGTAGGTCACCCTCCATCTTACACCATTCCCCGCTGCCTGCCCTCTCCTCTCCTCTCATACACACTGCCCCTCCTAGCCACCTTCCACCCATTCTCTCACACCTTTTCTCCTAGCCGCCATCAATGAAAAATATTGAAACGTGCAATTTTAGTCATTCACCCTGTAGTAAATAACATAAGAATATTTCTTATAAATTATATAAAAAAAAAAAAAATTGTATTACAAAAGGAAAAAAGTAAAGATAATAATGTGATTGAAACATGCTCACCATTTTCTGGGGGAGAAACATTATGTACAGCACTGTATTGTAATGTTAACAAAATAGTTTCTTACCAAAACAACACCACTGCCACTGGCATAATCAAATTCAGGCTTGATATTGCTCTGGGGTTCTACAGCATCTTTATCATGGTGGGAGGCACTGGGCTTCATCTGACAGATTGTGGAATCCATACACTGTGTGTTTTGTATACGACGAAGCTCTTTTTTCAACTGAGTCACCTGGAAAATAGGACACTATAATCTTACAGCTACACAGGTGCTTCCAGCACAGCCAAGCAGGTCTCACAGCACAATATGTATACAGTATTCTGAAAAATTATATACGCTTCCCATCATTTCTGCATGCCTATTTTGAAATATGTAAAGTAAAAGATGTTAGCTTACAAGTTCTCAGCCTATTTTGCAGTATTAGATAATAATAATAATAATAAAAAAAAAAAAAGTGTAGATGACTGACTTGTTTGCAGGCTTAGATCTACCTAAGGAATTTTTTTCCCTCCCTCCCAGCTCTTATTAATTTAGGTATTAATTCTTTCAACACCTAAATGTTAAATTTCTCTTAACATTTTTGCTGCTCCCGAAAAAATGCAAAAAACTGTAAGCAGATTACGGTTACGACGTCTGTCTGCTAAGGATAGCATGTGTGTGTACAATTCTCGGGATAAACTAAACTCCCCAGCCTCCCACAGCTTATCTTAAACCTTAGCCTACCAGTTTCCCCCTGGAACATTATCTATCAATCGGCTTACAACCAGGTCCATAATTACTGATGGATAAACAAGAGTAAACAGTTAAGGATTGGTGAATTATCACTCCCTTCCCAGAGAGAGAGAAAAAAAAAAAAAAAGTCGAAAGGAAAGATTAAAGGAATTAAACTTCTAGTCTCTGGAAGACAGACTAGTCAGGGCACACAATTATATTAGGGCACATTGTCATAATTTAAATTTAATATTTGAATAAAGGTACCTACTAATCATGACTACCAGGTTTTTACTGCATTCAGATTTGTCAATTTCAACATTTATCAGGATATATCTTAACTATTACTTAAGAGCTAAAAATACCAACAAATTTGTGTCACAAAACAAAGTGAATTATACAGTATAATTCTCACAAATACTTGATCAAATAATCATATACAGTTTAAGTTATACTTCAGAACCATATTGTAAATAAAATATAGAGATAATGTTTATTAATGCAAGAGTCTATAACAAAAACTCAGGAAAATTTACATGTTTAACAAGTTGGTGTGGATATGCCTGAAGCATCTTTACCATTAGCCTTACCTAGTTCCAACTTCAATACTCTGGAATAACAGTTTTCCTGACATACATACACACAGGTACTGATGAATCCAGAAAATTGTGATCACATTGTATATAAGGCTGAAAACTTACACAGTATATGGAATTACTCACACGTGAAACACACGAGACCTACTAACCCTGATGCTGTTACAGTATATGCTAGGGAGTGAGGAGAGAGAAAAACTAAGAGTGAAAAGGTGGGAGAAAATAGGAAGATAAAGGCAGGGATGGATGTTAAGTTTGGAAATAATGAAGTATCACACACAATCCATGGCCTTTTTGGTAGAATAGAAACTGAATGGTGAATGAAGAAAGCCAAAACGCTCAGGTACATTCTCCAACATAAGGAATTCATTGACAGAACTTGTTAATTTTGGCATAAACTAGATAAATAAAAAAGAATAAAGTTCTATATCTGTTTAAGATATTAACCTTTTGGTTGGCATGATTCAGCTCTTCCCTTAGGTTTTGAGCAACCTTTTCAGCAGGAGCATTAAGGGCACGTAGCCTGAACCGCAGCTCATTATTCACACGCTCTGCTGCAGCCAGTTGTTCTTGTAAATTGTCATTATCTCCACCTTAAAATAAAGAAAATACAAATTATAATTCAAGTTTATCATAGACACCTGAAATACAAAAGAATTCATCTTAAAATGGATTAGGAATTAGCACACATTTTACCCAATAATCCTCTGAAAATATCTGTGGTCATTTTTTCAAAATATTAAAATTAAAGAAATTACAAGAAAATGAATAATTTAGAAATGTTTTTACTGCAGTCAATCAACAGAGGCTGCAAAATCAAGGTAAGGTAATTATCAAAAGAAGGCACCAAACCGGGAAGGCTATGTAGCACCATCAAAGTGCGAAATAGAGCGCGCTAAATATCACCAAGAATGCCAAGACGAGAACAAAAACGCATAAGGCGAACGATATCAAAAGTATCCGATTCACCTAGAATTCTATCGAGGGACAAGTGACCGCGAGAGACGGTCGGAAAGCAAGACACGCTCGTCCTGGAAGTCAGGACATTCAACAAGGATATGCACAACTGTAAGAGGGACAACGCAATTCAGACAATAAGGAGCAGGGCGGCGCTCCATTAAGTGACCGTGGGTTAAGCGGGTATGACCAACCCGCAGCCGTGCCAAAGCAGTTTCCCACCGCCGGTTACGGTGGTAGGAGGAAGGCCACGGGGACACACTTCGTTTGAGAGTACGTAGCTTGTTACCAACCACAGAGGACCAACAACCCTGCCAACGGGCAAGAATGGAAGAATGAATAACAGGATAAAAGTTGGAATAAGGAATACTTTTACGGGAGATGGGACAAGAACGGATAGCTTCCTTAGCGGCAGCATCCGCACGCTCATTGAAAGAAACGCCAATATGGCTGGGAACCCAGCAAAACTCTACTGATTTAAATTTACTAGAAATAAGAAACAGCCAATGTTGAATCTCAATGACCACTGGATGGACAGGATTAAAGGACCCTAGAGCCATGAGGGTGTTACGTACCCTTATAAGATACGTAAGTGAATATATTAATATGTACATTTATAATTGTATGTAAATTACAAGCATGTATATTGTTATACTTATATGTTCTATGCAAATGCACATTCATGTTACAGTGTTGGCGTTAGGCCCAGCGTATCGTGGGAATGATTGTTTATTTCTTTGTGTGATCAGTTTTCCCACGGGAACTAATAATTTATATGTGATCATAAGTGGGTAACAGTGAAATAATAATTGAGTGAACTGTATCTGGCAAATTGTCGTGGGATCGTCCGTTGCTGGGGTGTGCATGCCATTATGCTATTCTGTATGCATATTTTAATTACTATGTAAAGAACTATTACCTTTTGTTTGTGTATATCAATATGTACTAATTATTCATTAAGTTAGTTTAAGATTACTCTTGTCACAATGTAGTGCTCCATTGTTGAAATATTAATAATTGTACTTTGGCAATTTATTCGCGGGGCGAGGCAATCTGTTTTGATTCTCGCGTGATCTTGTTTAGTAGCTGAGCAGAAGCCAGGGAGAGAACAACATTTTGGAGATAAGTCATTCTTTTGTTCTATAATAGCCATACTTATATATTATTAATTTAATGTCTGGAAGTACAGTGATATTTTTTAATGTGATATATATTGTGACCATAAAATCATCTGTTTGCTTTTGAGATTTATTTAATATAATATTATATATGTATCTTAGTCTTTATTCTTCAGTCCTATGAAGATTCTATTTTATGCTCATTACCTGTCAAGGGGTTATACTGGGGATTCGCTATTGAGAACAGCAGTTGTGTCGTATCCCTAGACTTATTAAAGTTGGCTGCTGTAGGATCACGAGCCGTAACGTACGATAGGTAACAAAGAGTTATGGGGGCCTGTGCCGGGAAATATTGTCCCACTTAACTTAACTATGCTAATCTAACCTTGCCTTCCTAGGTACCAGTGTCAAGTGTCTCTGTGTGTTTCTTAAGAACTATTCCATGTGCCAAGCAAGCCTTCCTGTGTGTCAAGTAACAACGTTTCACGATTTTGAGGTAAGTCATCCTATATATTTTGTTTGTGCAGTGAGGCCAAGCGAATTTTCAGTGTGGTGACAATTTTACAGTGAAGTGTAGTGCAGTGCCATTGTGTTTAATTATTGTTGTGAATTAAGTGCCAAGTGTTAGTAACGATGGAGGAGAAAGTTGCAGCGTTGGTGGCTCACCCAGACTTTGAAGGGATTCAGAACCTTAAAAAGACTGAGTTAATACAAATGGCAAATCATTTGGATTTGACCGCCAGCAATAGAATGGTTAAAGCCCAAATATTGAAAGTCATTGTGACGCATTTTGTTGAGAATGGGGAGTTAGATGACGAAATTCTAGAGGAGTTAAGAGAGGAGTCGAGTGATCAGATGACGTTAAAGCGTCTTGAGTTAGAAGCTCGCCAATTAGAGCTTGAAGCTCAAAAAGAACAGAAAATATTAGAGGCTGAAGCTCAGCAAAGGGAGCTGGAGACTAGGCGTTTAGAAATTGCGGCACAAAACCAGAGAGGTTTAATTGAGTTGCAACTTGAAGCCACAAAGAAGCAACAAGCCGAGGAACAAACTAGGCAATTAGAGATTCAACAACAAATGGCGGACACTAACTTCAGGCTTGAATCACAGCGTATGGCAGCTGGGCATGGAAATACTAGTAATGTTTCAACAAATAGTGATAATAATCCCATCAGGATGAATAAGTATATAGAGTTGCCCAAGTTCAATGAGGAAGATCCTGAGGTTTTCTTTGCACATTTTAATAAAATTGCCATCAGTATGAACTGGCCAAGGGATCAGTGGGTAGCCATTATGCAGTCTCAATTCAAGGGGCGTAGTCAGGAGGTTTTCACATCCTTACCTGACTCTCATAGTTTTGATTATGACTTTGTAAAGAAAAGCATCCTCAATGCATACCAACTAAATCCAGAGGCACACAGGCAAAAGTTCAGGAACCTAAGGAGAATCAAGGATCAAACAATAGCAGATTTTACTCGTCAGAAGACGAATTTTTGCAACAGATGGTTAAAGTCACTTGCAGTCACTGATTTTGATGCTCTAAAGAATCTTCTCATAATGGAAGAAGTATTGTCCTGTCTTCCAGACCAGTTGTCTACTTTTATGGCAGAACAAAAGAATGTAACCGATATTGATGAGCTGTCAAAGCTCGCGGATGAGCATGAGTTGCTGACTAAGGCCCCGTTTATGGCCACTTCACCTAAGTCTAGTCGTAGAGTAAATTTCAATGCTCACCGTACTCCTTATCAGTATAAGTCTCCTCCTGGTGCGACAGTTACTCCCGTGAACTCTTCTCTTACTAACCCTAAGATGGTTACTCCATTGCCAGGATCATCTAAGCCTAGTAATGCTAATTCTAAACCGGCAGTTGGTTATACCAGTGTGTCCACTGTCAAACATTGTACCCATTGTAAGAGAAGGGGGCATGTGATTTCTTCATGTTTTAGTTTGCATCCTGAACTCCGACCAACTGGTCTTATTATGAGTAAAGGAGTGCAACCTATTAATTCTTCATGTATTACAGTCAGTCCCAATTGGATGGCTGAATTCAAACCCTATATGTCCACAGGTACCTTATTATGTACTAATGGTAGACATAAGACTGTTCAATTACTCCGTGATACTGGAGCTTCACAGTCTCTTATTACCCAGAAGGTACTTGATGATGTTGACACCCGAGATCTGGGTGAAGTTGTGCTTCTCCAGGGTATTGCCGGAAGTGTGCAACCAGTGTCCTTATTACAAGTTAACCTTGATTCTAAATATACTTCAGGATGGTGTAATGTTGGTGTAAGTAAACAACTGCCCATTCCTGGGGTAGACATTATTCTAGGTAATGATTTTGGCAACCAAATGGTTGTAGGGCCCAAGTGTCCCATCATGTTAACTAAACCCCATAATGTATTAGCTCAACCGGAAGCAGATGATGATATTATTTACCCTGCTTGTGTTGTTACTAGATCAATGGGAAAAACAGGTGAGAGTAATCCTGTCTTCACTAAGGTTGCTGATCCCAAGACCAGGACCCCTTCAGTAAAGGAGTGGGAGGTGGATCTTGAGGATTCTTTTATGACTCGACTGGATGATGAGAGTGAGGTCGTAGTAGAAGCCCCGCCGAACCTAAATCACAAGGAAAGTGAAGGTGAGGAGGCTGAACTATCTGTACCTTGCCCGCTTGTCTCCAGTGCGCCAGTTGTCGAGAGTGAGGCCGAAGTAGCTATGACTCCATTTTATTCCGATCAATCGGGAAAAGAGATCAAGCTACTAGGTTCTTGCCCGCTCGCTGCTGAGTCTGAGTCATTGCCCTTAAGTGTTGTACAGACTACTGATCCTAGTTTAAGTAAGTGTATTTCTGAGGCTCCTGATAATATTGATGCATTGGAGGAAGGGACGGGTTTCTTCTTCAAGGATCGACTTCTGATGAGAAGGTGGAGACCCAAGGGAACTCCCTCTTCAGAGGATTGTGAGATTAGAACCCAACTCGTTGTCCCCAATGATTATCGTAGGCAGGTCCTGCAGGCTGCACATGATGACCCCATGGGAGGTCATCAAGGTATCACGAATATGTACCATAAGATAAGTAAATATTTTTTCTGGCCAAAGTTAAAGAAAGACGTGGTCAGATATTGTCATAACTGTATACCCTGTCAAATTGTTGGTAAACCAAATCAATCTGTACCTAGAGCACCATTGCAACCTATTGTAGTTCCTGATGAACCATTTACTCATGTTGTAATTGATTGTGTGGGTCCTTTACCTAAGACTAAATCGGGTAACATGTTTTTGTTCACTCTCATGTGTATGACTACTAGATTTCCTGAAGCTTATGCTCTACGGAATACCAAGGCTCATAATCTCATCAAGTGTCTTGAAAGATTCTTTTCGTTGTTTGGAATGCCTAGAGTTATTCAGAGTGATAATGGGGGAAATTTTGTTTCTAAAGTTTTCAGAACTTTTTGCGAATCCCGAGGGATTCGGCACAAATTGTCCAGTCCATATCATCCACAAAGCCAAGGTGGACT